GGCGGGTTGATCTGTGAGTTGTCGTTTATGATTTGCTGACCCGATAGCCGAGCGAGCTTCGGGTTGGATGCTTGGTCGAAACGACTGCTCGAGGAGTCGTCTTAATTACAAGGGACCGACTGATCCTACACTTTGAGTCGTTAATGATGACCCTTGGTCAAAAGATGACCTGTCAGCTCGGCTGGCCGATAGACTTGCCCTTGGCTGGGCTTTTGGGCCTCTAAGCTGGTTTGGACCATGACAACTTCAATCACTCTTTTGATATCTTCATCTTTAGATGGTCAATTACCATAACAAAGGTCATCAACATATATAGTAATGATCACAAAATATGACCAATTCCTCGTTATAAAAACACATGGACATATAGGGTCATTTGTATAATCTTCTTTGACTAAACATTCACTAAGATGTTTATACCATATTCGTCCAGATTGCTTGAGTCCATACAAAGATCTTTGCAACTTAATGGAGTACATTTCTCTAGGATTTGATTTACATGCTTCAAGCATGCTAAATCATTCAGGGATTTTCATATATATATCATTATCTATATTCCATATAAATAAGTGGTGACTATGTCCATCAGACGCATATCAAGTTTTTCATGTACTGCTAAACTCACAAGATATCTAAATATAATTCCATCCATTACTGGAGAATATGTCTCATCATAATCGAATCTCGGTCTTTGTGAAAAATCCTTGGGCTACAAGTCTTACTTTATATCTCATAATTTCATTTTTCTCATTTCTTTTCCTCACAAATACCTATTTATATCCTACTGGCTTTACACCTTCACGTGTTTGGACTACAGATCCAAACTAGTGAATCTAATTCAGATTGGATCGCATCTTTCTATTTTGACCAATCATTTCTTCGGTGACATTCATCAACCGATCTGGGTTCATGGTCCTCGTCATCTTCCATAATATCAAGTGCTACATTATATGCAAATGCATTATCGACAATTACTTCTCTTCCATAATAACAAAATTTATTAAAGTTTTATTTTCTTCAGGAGTTAACTCTTCAGGAGGGACCTCTTCAGGAGGCTGAATTTTGTCATTAACAATATTTTTATCATTCGATCCTCTTTTCTTTCGAGGATTCTTATCTTTAGAACCAAGAGGCCTACCATGCTTCAGGCGTGCTTTAGATTCGTTAGCACTTTTAATTTGTCCTTATGGGATATCAATTTTAATCGAAGCATTTTCTACTGGAATATGCGATTTAGTAATTCTTCTAGAATCACTAAAAGCATCCGGTAATTAGTTTGCAATTTTCTGTAAAAGTATAATCCTTTGAACTTCCAGTTCACATTCTTTTGTACGAGGATCAAGAAAGTCTAATGATATTTTCCATTTGAACTTCCAGTTCACATTCTTTTGTACGAGGATCAAGAAAGTCTAATGATATTTTCCAAGTAATTTCCTTTTTCGGGAGGATCAAGAAAGTCTAATGATATTTTCCAAGTAATTTCCTTTTTCGGTTGATCTTTACCTCCCCCTAACGTCGGGAAATGTGATTCATCAAAATGATAATTTGCAAATATTGCAGTAAATAAATCACCCGTTAATGGTTCAACATATTTAATTATAGAAGGTGATTCATACCCAACATATATCCCTAAACTTCTTTGATGGCCCATTTTAGTACGTTGAGGCGGTGCAATAGGAACATATACCGCACAACCAAAAATTCTTAAATAAGAAATATTGTGCTTGTGACCAAGAACTAATTGTAAGAGAGAATAAATTTGAGGCCTAATTCTCACAAGTAGTGCTGCATGTAATATAGCATGTCCCCAAGAAGAAAAATGAAGTTTAGACCTCATTAACAATGGTCTTGTAATTAATTGAAGCCGTTTAATAAATGATTCGGCTATACCATTTTGTGTATGAACATGAGCTACATGATGTTCAACACTTATCCCAATAGCCATGTAATAATCATCAAAGGCATCTGATGAATATTCACCAACATTATCTAGACGAATTTTCTTAATGGGATAATCAGGAAATTGTGCTCATAATTTAATTATCTGAGCAGGCAATCTCGCAAACGCTAGGTTGCGACTAGATAACAAACTTACATGTGACCATCTTATTGATGCATCAATTAGTGCCATAAAATATCTAAATGGTCCACATGGTGGATCTACAGGCCCACATATATCACCATGAATTCATTCTAGAAATGCAGGGGATTCAGTTCCCACTTTCGTTGGTGATCGTCTAACAATTAACTTCTCTTGGGAGCAAGCAACACATGAGAATTCATTAAAAATTAGTATTTTTTGATTTTTTAATGAATGACCATGTGAATTTATAATTATTCGCCTCATCATTATAGAGTCATGATGTCCAAGGCGATCATGCCAAATCATAAAATCATTGGGATTAGTAGACTTCTGGTCTTCAAGGTGATACATTTCAACTGCACTTATTTTTGTATAATATAAACCAGAAGATAGAGAAGATAGCTTTTCTAATACGCATTTCTTCTTAGAAATGGTATCTGTAATCAATAATTATTCACCATTTGTCTCATTCATCATCTCGTTATGATATGCATTTCGGCGGATATCTTTAAAACTTAGCAAATTTCTTCGAGACTTTATCGAGAGTAGTGCATTATTTATGACAAATTTAGTTCATTCGGGGAGAAATACAGTGGCTCTTCCAGAGCCATATCAATTAATTTAGCACTACCACTTATTATGTTAACATTTGTTTCTTCCATTTTTAAATGAGAAAAATACTTCATGTTTTTAAGTATAGTGTGTGTAGTAGCACTATCAATGAGACAAGTATTATCATCACTATTGTTTGATCCCAAATATTTGGCATCTACTTCTTCTTTAGGAAGAAATGACAAAAAAAATTACAAACAAAAGTAAATATCAATAAAGTCCATAAATTACAAAATTTATAAAGAAAATTACATAAACGATGTGAAAATAACAAAATTGAAAATGTCAGGTATTTATCATAGGATCATTTCGCAACTTCAGGTTGCTCAAGGAAATCAGCTACATCGAGGTGTGTGATATCATCAAGATCATCATAAACATTGTTTTGATTAATAAAATTTGTCTCAGTATTTTTGTCTTTCCCTTTTAATGATGCCTGATAGAGGTCAACAAGAAGTTTTGCCGTACGACAGGTACGAGACCAATTGTCTTCTATTCCACATCGGTAGCAAATTTTCTCATAATGTTTCTTTTCTTTACTTTTCTTATCATTATTGTTCCATTTCTGGGAGTTGTTTTGTCTTCTGCCACGGTTATGATCAATATGATTATAAGGCACATATCTGCCACGACCTCGTCCACGATAACGGCTACGTCCTCGGCCTCCTCCACAACCATGTCCACGCCCACAACCATGATTTTGAGATTTAGTTGCATTCGCTTCAGGGAATGGGCTAGAACTAGTAGGTCGGGATTCATGTTTTTTCAATAATAATTCATTATTTTGTTCAGCCAAAAGGAGGTATGAAATTAATTCAGAGTATTTCTTAAATCCTCTCTCTCGATATTGCTGTTGCAGGAGCATATATGAGGCATGAAAGGTGGAGAATGTTTTTTCTAACATATCGTCATCAGTGATATTTTCTCCACACAATTGCAATTGAGAGGTAATTTTATATATTACAGAATTATACTCACTAATTGATTTAAAATCTTATAGCCTTAAGTGAAGCCAGTCATACCGGGTTTTTGGGAGCATGACCAACTTCAGGTGGTCAAATCTCTCCTTCAAATTATTCCACATAGTAAATGGATCTTTCACAGTTAGGCATTCAGTTTTTAATCCTTCATCCAAATGATGGCGAAGGAAAATCATAGCTTTGGCCCGGTCTTGATTTGATGTCTTATTTTCTTTTACAATAGTATTTTCAAGACCTTTTGCAGCAAGATGTATTTCAACATCTAACATCCAAGATAAGTAGTTCATTCCAGAAATATCAAGTGGCGTAAATTCTTATTTTGTAAGGTTAGTCATAGTAAAAAATAAATTGAATTGGAAAGAGAAATTATACCTCGATAGTTTATCTAAAATATCAACACGTGCCCAACAATGAATCTAATGGACTTGAAGAAGATTGTTTCAATGGTAGAGTCTCGTGCTGATAATGTGTTATAAAACTAATGAAGTAGAGAAGAAAAAGTAGACGAGAAGTAGAGAGAAATTTTATTTCATTCGTTCTTCATTGTTATATCAAAGTGAGGTAGGAATACCTCTATTTATATACAAACTAAGATGATGATACATGAATCATATTAATTACTTATTCATGAACTTAGTCTTTCAAGAACATGCATTGTGTTGTTCTAGGAAGAAGATTAATGTATTAGGGGAATATCCACATTATTTCATAACATTTTCTTAATTGTAGGAGTGCCATTTAAAACTCAACATAGCAAACCGAACAAACAAGTTTCGACCAATTCGGTTCGCTTCGGTTCTGAGAGCAGAACGGTTTACTTTGATTATACCAAAATTTGTCAAAACAACCGACGAAACCAACTGTTTGCCATCCATCATGCATCTCTATTACTCACTTCCAAATATTGCATAAAATAAATTCACCGACACATGACTGAGTCCCCTTGGACATTATCATTCAAACTACAGCTACTGACGGAAGTCAACATTGACGTCTTAGAGAGGAAACAAACCTCACTAACGCGTAGAATTAGCGCACAGCCTCGGGACGCCAGTCGTAGGAGATCTGATAGGACCGAAAAATTCAGCAGCAAGTTGCCGCACTAAAGCGCAACTCGGCGTCTTGCTTCTGTGGGCTTGTGACCTTTAATTAGAATAACAATTAGGTCTAGTTCTAGAACTAATAATTGCTAGATGCGGGGTTTAGATTACTATCAATTCTAAATTTGATTAATATAGCGACTGACGATCTTGTGAGATTGGCACCTGAGACAATTCTTAATTATTAGATGGTTGGCATGCATCTTCAAAAGTTTGTGTGAGATATTATGAAGAAGGGAAGAGAGATGGCAAAGGAATTAGGGTTTGGACATACTCTAACAGAGGAGTCGATATCTGTATTTATATAAGCTAATTTACAGAATTACATATATACCCTTTATGCATTACAATTGCTCTATTACCCCCCTCCCCCCACCCACCCATCTAGACGGGGTAGAATACACACCGACAGATTGTTCCTTAGACAGAGAAATCTTTGAGAAGATAATCCCTTAGTAAAAATATCTGCAAGCTGAAGCTGTGTGGGAACATATCGAACAACCAAATCACCATGAGCAACCCTCTCCCGAACAAAGTGATAATCGACATTGATATGCTTGCTACGATCATGAAGAACTAGATTCGCCGTGATATAGGTGGCACTGATATTGTCACCGAAAAGAGTCACAGGATGGCGAAGAACAATTCCAAGCTCAACCAAGAGGCGCCTGAGCCATAGCGTCTCAGCAACGGTGTATGCAAGGGCGCGATATTCAGCCTCCGTCGAGGACCTCAACACGGTTGGTTGCATCTTGGAATGCCAAGAAATGAGATTAGGGCCAAAGAACACCGCATAGCCAGAGGTGGAGCGTGAGCTGTCAAGACAATCGGCCCAATCAGCATCAGAATTGGCAATGGCACGGGTCGATCCAATTGCCTTCCGAAGAGAGAGACCATGATCAGACGTGCCCTGCAAATATCTGTAAACTCTTTCGACAGCAAGGAGGTGAGTGGTACAAGGAGCATGTATAAACTGGAAAACAACATGAACAACAAATGCAATATCAGGCCTTGTAATTGTAAGATATTTTAAAGCACCAATCATGCTCCTATATACAGAGGGATCTGCTAATAACTCACCATCATTAAGGGATAATTTAGTCTTGGCAGCAATGGGTGTACACAGGGGAATAAGAGTATGCAAATGAAATTTACGTAAGAGGTTCTGAACATATTTATGTTGAGAAAAGATTAGAATGTCCGGCGTATGAGTTACTTGAACTCCCAAAAAATAATGAACATCACCAAGGTCATTCATGGCAAATTGATTAGATAATAAGCTAATAAAATGACGAAATAGAGAAGGAGAGTTGCATGTAAGAACAATATCATCAACATACAAAAGAAGAAAAATAATATCAGAGCCTCTACGATGAACAAACATGGAGGAATAAGTTTTGCTGCAATGGAAGCCGAGGGATAAAAGAAAACTACTAAAGCGATGAAACTAAGCACGAGGAGGCTGCTTGAGACCATAAATGGCTTTATTAAGTTTGTAAACATAATTTGAAAAAATCAGATTAATAAAACTAGGAGGTGTTTCATGTATACCTCCCCAGTAAGAAAACTATGCAAAAAGCTATTTTTAGCATCAAACTGTCGAATAACCCAACAAAAAGAAATAACCAACGACTGTACAAGACGAATAGTGGTAGTTTGACAACAGGGCTAAAAGTTTCATAAAATCGATACCAGCTTGCTGATGAAAACCTTGAGCAACCAAACGAGCTTTGTACCGCTCAATAGAACTATCTTAATTATATTTTATCTTGTAAACCCACTTACAACCAACAAAATTTTTTTCGTTCATCAAATGGAACCAATTTCCAAGTGTTATTAGTGATGAGTGCATTAAATTCTTCTACCATTGCATTTTCCCAAGATTTATCTTTCAAAGTTTGTGTAAAATTTGATGGTTCAGAGGCAAGGAATGTTGTATACAGCGATAATAGGTAGGGAAAATTGCAATGAATAGAACAAAAAAATTGACTTGTATTTCTTTGATTCCGGTTACAATTTGATTACAAAAGAGAAGAGAATGAATTTGGTTCTCCCCTTTGTTTAAAACTGGGTTCTTCTTGGTGGCGATGGAGTGCCTCCCTCGAATGCTCGCGTCGAGTTTGCTCTCCGTTGACGATCCGGCGTCTTAATTCACTGGAAGGATGTCTTCTCCTCACGATTTGACGTTGTGGAGAACTTACGTGGCAAGTTTAAAACTCTTGATGAGTTGATAACTCTGATCGAGTTTGAGCTCTTGAAAAAGAGTTGATTTGAACCTAAAGTTCGGTTGATAAGCCAAGGATCAAAGCTCTCTGTTGTCGAAGTTGAAGATAATCTTCGTTGGAGGATGATGCCGATCCCCTCAAAAGCTCGCCCAAGGATCTCTCCTGTTGCTGTCAATTCTTAGCTCCAAAAAGCCAACCTTCAATGGTCGATTCAAGCCAAGAAAAATCCAACCCCGAACTCAGTTGAGTTTACTCGCTTTTATAGGAGATTAAGGGGGTGTAACTGCCCTCTAAATCCACTCCTAAGTGGGCGTGATTTCCTCAGATCGTGGGGAAAACAGTTCTGAAAACCGTTCGACTCATATTTGAATGAGTCAAACGCCCAACCTGGCGTTCAGGACCCTAACCTCGCGTCTTAGGATTAAGACGCGAGGTTGGGTGTTGACTGAACATCCAGAACGCGAGGGTCGCTCACGTTTCGCTTGTTGTAACGCGGGTCCGACTCTAGCATTTTGATATTGTAACGCGGGTTCGACCCTCGCGTTTTAATGTTGTAACGCGGGTTCGACCACGGCGTTTTAATGTTGTAACGCGGGTTCGACCACGGTGTTTTGATGTTGTAATGCAGGTTCAACCCTCGTGTTTTGATATTGTAACGCGGGTTCGACTCCAGCGTTTTGATGTTGTAACGCGGGTTCGACCACGGTGTTTTGATGTTGTAACGCGGGTTCGACCATGGCGTTTTGATGTGGTAACACGGGTTCGACCCTCGCGTTTTGATATTGTAACGTGGGTTCGACTCCAGCGTTTTGATGTTGACACACGGGGAGGACCTCCGCGTCTTGTCTTGAAGAGATTATCACAAAGTAATCTCTTTTGTCATAGCGTTGCAAAGATCATTGTCTTGTAATCTTCGTCTTGGCTCCTTGAGAATATGAGAGTCGTCAGATTGTAACTCCCGATGTTGATTGTAAATGCTATTGAACTAGAGCTCTCATCGGTTGTCGTGAAGGTCGTCAGATTGTAACCTTCAGCGATCTACGTGAAAGTCTTCAAATTGTAGCCTTCTGGAAGTCGTCAGATTGTAACTTCCATCATCGGTGTTTGATGGAGGATAAGCTATCTATTGTGATTTTTAGACAGCCTACACGTGGTTTCAAAATACACGACTTAGAACGAATCTGCATAGGGTGTGGATGAGAAGTGAGAGGTGGAAGCTCGTGTGATAGAGGAGAGGAGGTTGTCTCAGGAACAACCGAGGAACCAGGCACGTCTAGAGTAGAAATCAGCATTCACTGTAGTTCCTGTGGCCGAGAGGAATCAACCACGATAGCTACTGGAGACCCTAGTGATGCGGCAACAACCAGGGGCTATACAGCACCCGTAGCTAGAAGAGCTAGTGGCAATAGAGCAGCTAACAGTGGTGCACCTGCAGTAGGAGAACTAGCATGGGTAGCTAGGTTTAGGGGTGACAGACAAGCTGAGGAAGGCTCAGGTAGCGAGCGCACAAGTGTTGTGTGTGATAATAGAGAATGCACAGGAAGGGATGTAGGAGAACTTAAGTGGGTAGGATATGACACATGGGAGAAGCTAGATGTCAAGAAATGTGGAGAGAGAGAGAGGACTCTAGAGTAGAAGTAGATGGACACAAGGCTAAACTTGTGACGAACAAAAGAGGAGACGAATTAGGTGACTTGTTAACAACAAAGGTGGAATAGGAAAATATAGACTCATAAAATCAAACATGATGTCTAACATAGACTCAGCCCATAGCCGGATCGAAGCAACGATAACTTTTATAATGAGGAGCATAACCTAAGAAAATATAACGTTTAGGACAAGGTTGAAATTTATTGGTAACCTGAGCCGAAATATTTGGAAAACATTCACAACCAAAAACTCGAAGAAAGTCATATTCAGGTTTCTTTTTAAAAAGTCATTCATAAGGAGAGATGTTATCTAAAAGAGGAGTAGGTAATTGGTTAATCACAAAAAACAGCTGTATAGACAGCATCAACCAAAAACTAAGATGGCAATTAAGCATCAATCAAAAAAGTACGTGCTATCTCAACAATGTGTCAATGTTTGCGCTCAGCCACGCCATTTTATTGTGGCGTATCAGGGCACGACTTGCGAAAGTAAATCCCTTTTTCTAGAAAAAGTTGTTTAAAAGCTTTGTTATCAAATTCTTTACCACCATCACTCTGAACCATCCAAATTTTATAAGAAAACAAGTTTTTAACCAACTTTTGAAAGTGACAAAAATGAGTAAAAACTTCTGATTTTAATTTCATAGGATATATCCAAGTAAATCAAGTACAATCATCGACAAAATAAACATAATATCGAAAACCCAAATTAGACAAAACTGGTGATTGCCAAACATCTGAATGAATCAAATATAAAGGAGTACTATAGGAATGCTCAACATTACAAAAAGGTAAACGATACAATTTTCCAAATTTACATGAAACACATTTATTCTCAAAGTTTGTTGCCGTCACAATGACATTATTGGACCTAAGCTGATTTAAGACATGACCACCACAATGACCTAAGAGACGATGCCATATATCTCCTTTATCAGTCAGAGAAATGAGAGATGTGATAGAATTAGACTCAATGGAAGAGGAAAGTGGGTATACACCGTTTCTATTGGAACCCTGAAGAAGAACCTTCCCCGTGGTTTTGTCCTTAACATACACGGAAGAGGAGTCAAAATTAACCACATAATTATTATCATCACATAAGTGTTTGATAGATACTAAATTGTGTTTTAACTTAAGAATATGAAATACAGAATTAAGACGAAGTGATGTGGCAAAAGAATTTAAATGTACATCACCAATATTAGCAATAGGTAGAAGATTATCGTTTCCTACTAGGACTTTAGTTTGATCGGTATAAATATACCTTCAAACGGTGTCATATGAGAATACACAGTGAAATCTAGATACCACAAGGCTTCATTAGCATCGCCATGAGACATAGCAGCAAACAATGGAGCGGTGTGAGGACTTGAAATTGAACCTGGAGTGACCCCTTGAGAAAGAAAATGGGAACAAGATGCAGCGATGCGACCTGGACTAAAACAAAGTTGGCAAAAAACTGTAGATGGACAAGAGCCCAATATTCCATTAGAGGTCGAGTTAGAAGCAAAATCCTTAGAATTAGAAGTATTAGAGTCAATAATATGAGAACAATTAAGGAAGATATTACCATTCACATGATTCAGCTAAGGACCCCTTGTTTGTGCTGGCCATAGAAACCACGGCCACCTGAAGATGTACAACAGCGACCATCACAGAAAGCTCGACCACTGTTGCCTCGCTACAATTCACAACTGCTCCAGCCACCCGAGGCCAAAGGGGGCCACTGTTGTGTCCCCATGTTGGTGCGGTTTGGACTTGCTATAGTAACAGATGTAGCACCCGAGCCAGCTGAAGTAGATATGCCGGTGACAAGAGATTGATTGGAAGGAACATCATGATCTCATTCCTTAAAATAGTGAACACGTTGTTCATAAAGGATTAACTTGGAATGGATGTCATCGAAGGTGATATTGTTGCCAAAATAGGTAACCACTGTGATGAACGATTCATAATCATTGTTCAAACCAATGAGTGTGTGTTGCATGAGCTCGTTATCGCTCAAAGGGGAATTAATCGCAGCATGTGAATCCGTAATAACTTTTATCTCGCGTAAATAAACCTCATGGATTGAAAAGATGGAATTGGAGTCATCAGGATCAATGTATAAGAAACAGGGGAGGAGGAAGTCCGATTCCGTGAGAAGCTCGAAGAAGATGCAGTCGAAGTTGTGGTTGTTGTACTCGAGGAAGATGAAGTCGAAGAAGATGAAGTCCTGGAGGATGATGCCGAGAACGCCATGAGTTGTTTGGATTGTTATGGTTTCAGAGCGCTCTCAGGTGAACAATACACGCGGCGATGAACAGTGCTCTTTGATGATGAATAGTACTCTCAGGAGAAAGATAGCTAGGGTTTTACTAGAGCTCTGATACCATGTGAGATAT